GGGAGTTAGTAATTGATTTGATAGTGGTTGACATGCCCGACTTTGATGTGTTTTTGGGCATGGATTTCCTAGGGAGGTATGGAGTAGAAACTGACTATCGGAAGAAGAAAGCAAGATTTAATCTTGATGACAGAGATAAGTTTAGTTTTGGAGAGGGCCATCAGTTGAGTATGTTGATCAGTAGTATAAAGGCTAGAAAGATGTTAAGAAAAGGGGTTCAAGGTACATTGCCCATGTGGTGCAAAGTAGTGACGTCCCACAACCAAAGATTCAAAATGTGCCAACAGTCCGGGAATTTTTAGATGTATTTCTAGAAGATTTACTAGGTTTACCTCTAGAAAGAGAAGTAGAGTTTAGTATTGAACTGGCACCAAGAACAGCACCGATTTCTAAAGACCCTTACCGAATGGCCCCAGCTGAGCTTCAGGAATTGAAGAAGCAACTCCAAAAACTCCTAGATAAGGGTTTTATCCGACCTAGTCATTCTCCCTGGGGAGCTCCAATTTTGTTTGTGAAGAAGAAAAATGGGTCCCTACGAATATTTATAGACTACAGAGAGTTGAATAAAGTGACAGTGAAGAATAAGTACCCGTTTCTTCGTATAGATGACTTATTTGATCAATTGAAAGGTGCAGCAGTGTTTTCAAAGATTTATTTGAGGTCGGGTTATCATCAGGTAAGTGATGCGTTGTAACTACAACATGCAAATATAGCAAGTATACTAGTCGTAAAAAGTAATAAAGTAATGAGTGAGTATCGTTCCCACGAGGATAGTGGTACTAATTACCGATTTTTCTAGTTTAAGTCCTAATTGAAGCAACAATAAATTGGATTTATGGAAGATTAACAAACTAAATACAAATGCAAAACCCAACAACTTAACTAATTAAACAATTCTAAAACAAATGCTAGGGTGTTGAATTCACCTAAATACGCTAACCCAAATCATAGAATCTATTACCCAAGTTCTAATTTCTTGATTGAAAATCGAATTCCCTAAGTTGTAAAACATACATTCTCATGCTACATTTCCCTACTTATCCCTATTAAGCTTCCGCACCCAACAAAATGAAGATTAATAGTTCAAAGGATTTTAAGCTTTGTGGAATTCTATCTAGATTTCATAGATCGCTAAACCTATCTCTAGCGTTTGCTAATCTATGGTATTTATCCCAAGAGGCACAATCACAAATCACTTCTCAGTCTCATTGTGAACAACACACATTTGAATGGTGATCAAGCATCCAAAAGACATTAAGCAAAGAGATAAACACTCAATCATGAAATTAAAACTCAAAGTAATTCAATCCATATAAATTTGAATCATTGTATCAAGATTACATCAAACCCTAGCTAAACAACTCAGTTCATACTCAAAAACGAAATAAAACAACAAAAACAAACTGAATCAAGATTCATCATTGAAAAGCAAGCAAAAGATGGAGAAATCTTCTCTAATTTGAAGCCCAAATCTTCAATAATCTTCTCCTTCCATGAGCTGCCTCCCAAATCACGAACCAAGCCCCTTTTCTCTTCCTTTTCGCTCTAATTTATACCTCTCTCACTTAAGGACGAAGCCCTAGCAAGCCAAAACGCGTCGTTTTATTTTTGCATCTGACGCAGGTTTCGCCGCGGCGAAGCTTTTTCCTCGCCGCGGCGAAGACTTACAGGCCCAATTTGAGCATGATATAGTTAGAATCTGGAAAAGTGTAAAACATATGAATTGTAGCCCTTTCAATTATCTTTCTGGTCGTTCAAGAATCAGCACAATCCGAGGTCTACAGATCAAGTTATGGCAGAAATACTGAAGCACGTCCAAAGACGTTTTTCTTCAGTTCCCAGCGTCCTTTTCACGACTTCAAGCCAAGTTTTCACCTTTGTCCAGTCAGAATTAGGAAAAACCCAAAACATGAACGTTGTAGCTCTTCTTCTTAGCTTTCCAAAGCTTCTAAATTCAGGTTATTCCGAGTTTTCAAGCTCAAGTTACACAATTTACGCTCAAAACTGTCATTTATGCTAAAAATCATCGTTTAGGCCTACAAAGACAAATTAATAGAATTAGGTAGCAATTATGGCCCAAATTGTATGAAAAGTATCCTAAATCCTATCAAAATTCAATGCAAAATCATAGTGTAAAATATGCTTATCAGTAGGAGTAGCAGAACAAGATATTGCTAAGACCGCTTTCCAAACAAGATATGGGCATTATGAATTTGTGGTGATGCCATTTGGGTAATACCCGCGAACTTAAGATTTGCTCGTCCTCGAGCAAAAAGGAATAAAAATCAAAACAAAAAGAAAGATAAATACCTAGAGTGAATCACAATCCAAGTCTCAAAAATTGTTGGTACATTATTACAAAAAAAATGCTCAACACTCCAAGAAGTCATAAATTAAACTGACTATCTTTCTCTATCGATCCCCTGAATAGGAAATCCCCACTTCAGTCCACCTTCCAACTTCTCAGATTATTTTATGCAGAAATGTAAAGTTTATCAAATGGTGGTAGACTCCATAAGCCTAAGTATAGAACTACTCTCCACGAATGTAGACTAGACATCGCTAAGAATCAAAAGGTCTTTGCAAGTTTGTAACGTTAGGCTGGGGTAGTGGGCTCCAAGGAAAGGGATAGGATAAACAAAGTAAGAGAACTCGGTTTTCCTCATGCAAAAACTAAGAGCTACATTAATCTCCACTTTCTTTCTCAACCACCAATCAACGTATCAACCATTTTACAACCCTCAAACTTGTGCATTTCTTATTTTTGATTTTGAATCGAACTAAATAATTTTTCTTCTTCTTCTTCTTTTTGAAATTAACAAATATTTACAACACCATTGAGGTCTCTTGCCCCTTCTTCGTGCCATTTTTGCAACCCCCAAACTTAAGATTTTGGTCCATCACTTATTCACACACCTCTCAAAGCTCTTTTGTGTCATACATTAGGTCCATAATTCTCCTAAAGGGTATGATAAAGTGTTTAGGGTATAGGGATTGGACAATTTTTTGTTTGCAAGGAAAATAAGGCAATGATAATCTCATAAAGCTCAAATGGATGACTAGGGAAAGATTCATTCATGGGTCGACTGGAAAGGCTCAAATGTTCCGAAAAATGCCTAAATCATTTCCTCAACAATGTCCAATCCTACAATTTCGCCTCAAGCACTTCTTAACTAGGTTCTAGAGTCCACCAACATTATCAAGACTTCACCTAACCACATAAAATGTTTCTAAGCAAGCCGAAAGAGCGAAAATGGTGGTTGAACCAGTCAACGAACCTCAAGCTAAATCAAGTCAACCAACCTAAACTTGAAGCAATGCTTAACATTTTCCAAAAATAATATCCCAACAATTCTAGTCTCATCATAGACTTATGCAATTCATCTAGGCAACAACAACACAACACACACAAAACAAACTAAACAAATAACAATCAAAGAACTTAAAACAAAAAGAAACACAATTTCAAGCTAAAACACACAAACAAACTAAACAATGAAATTTTTCCTACCCCCAAACTTAAAATGACATTGTCCTCAATGTCACACCATAAAGAACAAGGAATAGAGAAAAGAGAAGGGTTAAAAAATACTCCCCTAATTAATCCGCGAAGTGTTTCCTTTATGTCAATGCCCAACATCCATTCATTATCTTCATCGTCATAAGAATCTGTCAAAACAAGAAAACTCATGGTGCACCAATTTGTTAAAACACATTACAGATTAGTAAGGGAAATATCAAACCTCATCAAACTAAAATCAAAGTTCTAAAATTGAAAATAAACTTCAACAAAAACAAAATAAACTGAAAACACTTGGGTTGCCTCCCAAGAAGCGCTTTATTTAAAGTCGAAAGCTCGACTTTCCCATGGTCCTTCGTCAATCTAGATCCTTTTGGGGTGCTTCACTTCCCATTGCCACCTCTTGGTCTTTCCTTTGGAATTTCGGGCATTCTCGTAAGCATCTTTTTGGAACTTCAAATTCGTATATGCATACTTGAGATGAGATGGGGATTGGTTGAGTCCAATGTTTGGAGTCTCTTCTAACACCAATTTTGACTTGTGCGCATTTACACCAAATTCCTCAAATTGTTCCTTGTGAGGTGAGTTGCTTGGTTGAAATTCCCCTAAGTATCTTGCACACCCTTTTGCTTTGAGATTTTCCTCTTCATTAGTCTTGTCTTCATGTTCTTCCAACTTCTCTTCATTGTGAGGTTGCTCCAACACTATACCTCTCCTCAATGTTATGACATTTAATTGTTCTTTAGGATTTGTGACCATTGTGCTTGGCAAAGAACCTTGAGATCTCTCTGTCAATTGTTCAACCAATTGCCCTACTTGAACCTCCAAATTTTGAATGGACACTCCTTGATTTCTAAATTTTGAGCGTGTCTCATTCATAAAACTTGTGGTTTCTTGCATGAATTTCTCAAACATGTCCTCCAATTTCGACATTCTTTGCTCACATGGTTGATGATTCACCACTGGTTGATGGTTTGGCACTGTCCTTTGATTTGATTGACTTCTTTGATTGCTCCAGGACAAATTTAGGTGATTCCCCTAACCAAGATTGTAAGTGTTAGAGAAGGAGTCATTTTGTAGCCTTTGTGAACTAACCATGTAATTCACTTGCTCGGTTGTTGAGAAGACTAACTGGTTTCCATCTTGGCATTCCACACTCCCATGGTTTCCTGCACAAAATTCATAAGTTATAAAAGGTGAGTGAATAGAATTTACATTCATACCTCCCAATTGGCTTTGAAGTGATGCAATTTGTGTAGATAATGTGGCGAACACATCGACTTCATGTAGACCCATTTTTCTCTTCGGCATTGCTCTCTCATTAGGTCTTTGGTAGTTATTGTTGGCCATCACCTCAAGCAATTCATAAGCATATTCTAGGGTCTTGTTATTTAAGGCTCCACCTGATGCAACATCTAACATAGATTGAATAATTGGTAGAAACACATTGTAAAATGTTTGGACTTGTATCCAAAACGGTAGACCATGATGTGGACATTTCCTTAACAACTCTGTGTACCTCTCCCAAGCTTCATAAAGTGATTCATCATTGCCTTGCATGAAAAGAGAGAATGTCGTTTCTCATTTTTGCCATCTTCTCTGGTGGGAAGTATTTTGCAAGAAACGTTTGAGCTAATCCATCCCATATAGTGATTGTCCCAATTGGGTGTGACATGAGCCAACCTTTCGCTTTATCTCTCAATGAAAATGGGAACAATCTCAACCTAATTGCATCATCAGTCATTCCATTAACATTGAATGTGTCACATATCTCTAGAAAGCTAGCGATATGCAAAATTGGATCCTCATATGAATTTCCACCAAATTGGACTGACTGTTGGATAATCTGAATTATTGTCAGCTTAATCTCAAAGTTCACTGCAACAAGTGGCCTTGTAACACCATAATTGCATTCTTGCACCGTTGGTATGGCATAATCCCTCAACGTTCTATGTACTTCTACCATGATCTCCACATGCACTACAAGAAACAGTTAATTAAGCTTAACTACAAAATAAAAAAAAATAAAAAAACTAGAAAGAAAAGAACTCAAGCTTAAGACTATACAATATTTACGATTAACTACAAAAATGAAATAAAAGCTTCAATTTAGTACTACACTAGATACTATCAATATTAATAATCAACTATCCCCGACAACAGCGCCAAAAACTTGATGCCTTGTAACTACAACATGCATAAATATCAAGTGCACTAGTTGCACAAAGTAATAAAGTGATGAGTGAGTATCGTTCCCACGAGGATAGTGTTACTAAGTACCGAATTCTCTAGTTTAAGTCCTTATTGAAGAACAATAAATTGGATTGATGGAAAATTAACAAACTAAATACAAATTAAAAAAAAAAAAAATGAATGATAATGAAATTAAAGCAAAACCCAACAACTTAACTAATTAAACAATGCTAACAAATGCTAGGGTGTTGATTTCACCTAGATACACTAACCCAATTCATAGAATCTATTACCTAAGTTCTAATTCCTTGATTGACAATCAAATTCCCTAAGTTGTAAAACATACCTTCTCAGGCTACATTTCCCTACTTATCCCTATTAAGCTTCCGCACCCAACAAAATGAAGATTAATAGTTCAAAGTCTTTTAAGCTTTATGGAATTCTATCTAGATTTCATAGATCGCTAAACCTATCTGTAGCGTTTGCTTAATCTACGGTATTTATCCCAAGAGGCACAATCACAAATCACTTCTCAGTCTCATTGTGAACAACACACATTTTGAATGGTGATCAAGCATCCAAAAGTCATTAAGCAAAGAGATAGACACTCAATCATGAAATTAAAACTCAAAGTAAATCAATTCATATAAAATTGAATCATTGTATCAAGGTTACATCAAACCCTAGCTAAACAACTCAGGTCATACTCAAAAACGAAATAAAATAACAAAAACCAATTGAATCAAGATTCATCATTTAAAAATAAGCAAAAAATGGAGAAATCTTCTCTAATTTGAAGCCCAAATCTTCAATAATCTTCTCCTTCCATGAGCTGCCTACCAAATGACAAACCAAGCTCCTTTTCTCTTCCTTTTCGCTCTAATTTATACCTCTCTCACTTAAGGATGAAGCCCTAGCAAGCCAAAACACGTCGTTTTATTTTTACATCTGATGCAGGTTTCGCCGCGGCGAAGATTTTTCCTTGCCGCGGCGAGGACGTTCGGGCAAAACTTGAACATGATAGAGTCTGAATCTGGAAAAGTGTTAAACATATGAATTATATCCCCTTACATTATATTTCTGGTCGTTCAAGAATAACAACAATCCAAGGTCTATAGCTCAAGTTATGGAAAAAATACTGAAGAACATCCAAAGACATTTTTCTTCAGTTCCCAGCGTACTTTTCACGACTTCAAGCCAAGTTTTCACCCTTGTCTAGTCAGAATGAGGAAAAACCCTAAACCCAAAACATGAAAGTTGTAGCTCTTCTTCTTAGCTTTCCAAATCTTCTAAATTTAGGTCATTCCAAGTTTCCAAGCTCAAGTTACACAATTTATGCTCAAAACTGTCATTTATGCTCAAAATCATCGTTTAGGCCTGCAAAGACAAATTAATAGAATTAGGTAGCAATTATGGCCCAAATTGTATGAAAAGTATCCTAAATTCTATCAAAATTCAATGCAAAATCATAGTGTAAAATATGATTATCAGTTAACTAATGCCCCAACAGTTTTTATGGACTTAATGAACCGGGTGTTTCAAGATTGCCTTGATCAATTCATAGTGGTGTTTATTGATGACATCCTGGTTTATTCTAAGTCAAGAGAAGAGCATGACGAACACTTAAGATTTGTGCTGCAGCGATTAAGAGAAAAGAAGTTGTATGCAAAGTTTTCTAAGTGTGAGTTTTGGCTAGATCAGGTGATATTTCTAGCTCATATTGTCTGTAAAGAGGGTTTATCAGTAGATCCTAGTAAAGTGAAGGCAATCCTAGAATGGAAAAGGCTGAAGACAGTGAAATAAGTTAGGAGTTTCTTGGGACTGGCAGGCTACTATCGGCGGTTTGTAGCAAGGTTTGCCTAGTTGGCTAAGCCATTGACTGCTCTTACCAAACAGAGAACTCCTTTTATATGGTCAGATTCTTGTGAAGAGAGTTTTCAAGAGTTGAAGAAAAGATTACTGACTGCTCCCGTTTTGGTGTTACCATGAAGGGTATGGATTACGATATTTATACACATGCCTCACTGCAGGGACTTGGGGCTGTATTGATGCAGTTAGGTAGGGTAATAGCTTATGCTTCTCAACAATTAAAAGAGTACGAGACGAGATACCCTACACATGATTTAGAGTTGGAAGCTGTAGCCTTTACATTAAAGATTTAGAGGCATTACCTATATGGTGCCAAAAGTGATATCTACACCGACCATAAGAGTTTAAAGTATTTCTTTACTCAAAGGGAACTGAACATGAGACAGAGGAGATGGTTAGAGCTGGTTAAAGATTATGACTGTGAGACTAAGTATCAGCCAGGGAAAGCCAATGTGGTAGCCAATGCTTTGATTAGAAAAGCTTATTTGTCCCAACTCACAAAGCAGAAAGAGTTACTAGAAGAATTGTGCAAAGAGCAAATTAAGGTGATACTGGGAAGGATTGCTAGGTTAGAGGTTCAGTCTACTTTATTGGAAGAAATCAACGGTAAGCAAGTTGTTGATAAGTGGTGTTAGAAAACAAGGCAGCAAGCACTTGAGGGCAAGATGCCAGAATTCCTTTTGCTAGAGGGTGTCCTCAATTCTAGGAATCGTTTGTGCATTCCTCAAGATGTTGAGTTAAAGAAGAGAATTCTTACGGATGCTCATGACACACCATACACTACTCATCTAGGAACAACCAAGATGTATCAAGACTTAAAGAAAGGCTATTGGTGGCCAGGTATGAAGAAGGATATTGGAGATTTTGTAGCTAAGTGCCTAGTTTGTCAACAAGTGAAAGAAGAACACCAAAGACCGTCAAGATTGCTTCAGCCACTTAGCATTCCTGAATGGAAACAGGAGAGTATCTCAATGGATTTTATTACAAGTCTCCCAAGAGTACAGAAAGGGTATAATACCATATGGGTGATATTAGACAGGTTAACTAAATCAGCCCATTTTCTTCTAGTAAAGAAGAGCACTACTTCGGATCAATTGGCATAAATTTATATTAAAGAGATAGTGAGCTTGCGTGGAGTACCCAACACAATAGTATCAGATAGAGATTCCAGATTTGTCTCATCTTTCTAGACTAGTTTACAAAGAAACTTGGGTACCAAGTTGGCTTTTAGTACAACCTATCATCCTCAGACAGATGGCTAGACTGAGAGAACGAATCAAATACTTGAGGATATGTTGAGGGCTTGTTGTATGGATTATAGACTGTCCTGGCATGAGATGCTGCCCTTGGTGGAGTTTGCTTATAATAATAGCTATTAGTCTACAATTAAGATGGCTCCTTATGAGGCCTTGTATGGTAGACGATGTAGATCTCCACTGCATTAGGATGAGATAGGCGAGAAAGATGTTTTGAATACATCTCTTGGGCAGGAAATAACTCAGAAAATGATAAAAGATATCGAATTGATCAGAATAGAATGAAACAAGCCCAAGACAGGCAGAAAAGTTATGCAGACTTAAAGAGCAAAGATGTTGAGTTCGAAGTGGGTGATAAAGTGTTTCTAAGAGTTTCCCCCTATAAACAGGTGATGCGTTTTGGTGGCAAAGGAAAGTTAGCACCGAGATACATTGGTCCATTTGAAGTCTTACAACGAGTAGGAAAAGTAGCTTATAGGTTGGCACTACCACCCAATATGGACAGCGTGCATAATGTATTTCATGTCTCGATGTTTCAAAAGTATGTCAATGATCCCTCCCATATATTGAATGTAGAGGATGTAGATTTAGAAGAGAATCTTATGTATAAGAAGTGTCCAGTTTAGATATTGGACATAAAGTTGAAAGAGCTCTGAAACAAGAGTATCCCTTTAGTGAAAGTCCTGAGAAACCATAAAGCGAAGAAGCTACATGGGAGGTAGAGCAAGATATACAGAACTGTTACCTGGAGTTGTTCGTATGAATTTTGGGGATGAAATTCTTTCAAGGGGGGAGAATTGTAATGCCCACTTTGAGGTATGCAGTTTAAATATGCTTATTGGCCCTTAATGTTGTTTGTTTGCCCTTAGTTAAGCTTGTATGCTTTTAATAGTGCTTGCTTGCCCTGAGTTTTGGTGAAGGATTGGCGAAGTTGGGAATTGCAGACTTTGCCACAGCAAAGAAGAAACCTTGCTGCGGTGATGTATGCTTTGGAATTTTTCTCTGAGGCGAAGAAAAAGCTTTGCTGGGGCAAAGAGCTGGCTAGAATTCTTGAGAAGTTTCTAGAGAATTTTTCCTTAGTGGAAAAGTGACCATTCTACCCCTAATTAGTAGTAAAAGTGGGGAGTGAAAAGTAAGAAAATTTCATGGAGAATACATTCAAGATGGGAGTGTAATTGTAATGAATTAAAGGGCAAACATGGAATTTTTAAGAAAGTGCAAGGGCAAAATGGGAAAGAATGTGTATTTATATGAGATGTTAAGGGTTAAA